GGGTGGAGGGGGAGATATGATTCTAAGGAGCCACCTTATATTGAATCTAAGGATGCACCTCCAAAATTATATTATACGCCATCAATTTACTTGATCCACTCCGTTCAGTTTGATCTAAATGATTTGGTTGGCATATAAACCAAAAAATTAGGCATATTAGGTTCTAGTTACTAATGCATTAAGCGATAGTAAAATTAACGGTTTTACGACAACACAACTAACACTAGTAGAAAACTGAGTATTGGCGACGGGATATTGGTGACGGATTTGAAATCCGTCGCCAATACAAACATTTGCGACGGAACATTGGCGACGGGGTTGTTCCCGTCGCCAATGTTTGTATTGGCGACCGATTTCAATCCGTCGCTAATTTTCCGTTCGCCCATAACCTTGGCGACGGCGACAACATTGGGCACGGATTAGATCGTCGCCAATAAGTATTGGCGACGCGATTAGATCCGTCGCCAATAAAGTGAACCGGCCGACGAAGTTCGATCCGCCACCAATGTTTTCGTCGCCAATACTTATTAGCCGACAGATTCAATCCGTCTCGCCATAATATTGCGACGGAAATGATGTGTTGCCCAATACGTATTAGCCGACGGAATGATCCGTCACCAATGTTTCGTCGCCAATAACTTATGGCGACGGGACGAATTCGTCGCAATAAAGTATTGGCGGCGAATTGAATCTGTCGCCAATAAGTTGTATGGCGACGAATCGTGTTCCGTCACCAATGTTTAGTCGCCAATACTTATTGTGCCGACGATTTGACCGTCGCCAATAAACATTGCCGATGAATTCTAAATCCGTCGCCATAAGATTAGCGACGAATTCTATCCGTCGCCCAATGTTCCGTCGTAAAATTAACTTATTACCGACAGATTCTATTCAGTCTGCAATAAGTATGACGACGAAAAAATGTTGCGTCGCCAATACATATTAGCGACGGAAATAGATCCGTCGCCAAATGTTCCGTCGCCAAACTTATTGGCGACGGATCGAGTTCGTCCGCAATACAGTATTGCGGCGACAATCGATTCTATCACTAATAAGTATTGTCGCGAATGTGTTCGCTCACCAAGTGTTAGTCGCCAATACCTATTGGTGACAGATTCGATTCCAGTCGCCAATAAACATTGGCGATTGAATTCATTCCGTCGGCCAATAAGTATTGGCGACGAATTCTATCCGTCGGCCAATTGTTCTCGTCGCAAATACTTATTAGCGACATGATTCTGATTCGTCGCCAAATAGTATTGACGACGAAAATGTCTGCGTCGGCCGAAGACATTATGCGCGACGGAATAGATCGTCGCCAATGTTCCTCACCAATACTTATTAGCCACGATTGAATTCGTCGTCAATAAGTTATTTGGCGACGATCGATCTTCGCATAAGTATTGGCGACGAATGTGATCCGTCACCAATGTTTCGCTCGCTAAATACTTATTGGTGACAGATTCTATCCGTCGCCAATACACATTAGCGGCGAATTTCGATCCGTCGGCCAATGAAGTATGCGCGACGTCTCGAATTTACGTCGCCAATACTAATGCCCGACGAATCCAAATCTGTCGTCAATGCTCCGTCGCATCGTAAAAAATTAACATTAGTGATGCATATCCCATGTGTTAATGAGTGGCCCTACAAAAAGATTAAGAATTATTTTTAATATTAGTCACCTCAAATCTATAATATTTTAATATAGTCCAAATACTTATTTTGTTCCACGCAGGTAGATGATAGTTGAGAGCTGAGGACGTTGGAAGTTCTACTATGATTCAGGGACAGTTATTTGTGTGCCTACTCAAGGGCCCCCTGCTCCCCTCTAGGCGTCAGTCGTCGGAGGAGCTGGTTAAGCCGTATAACTTTGTCCCTGGAGGCATGTCCCTTTCTTTAGGGGATAGAGTGATATATACTTCCTGAATTTGAATTTTCTTATAGAACGAATAAGCTAGAGAATAATAACTTAAACATGTTTATTTGCATTTATTGGGTTCACTTACCACCCTACCTCTAGGCTCATGAAACACATCTACTATTAATTGTTTAAGACGCATAATATTGCCTATTGTCTGAGAAAAGTTATATCCTAGGTATTCTACCCCGATACTAATGCTGTAATTAATTTAACAATATGGTTTGTTTATACATAAATTAAAAGTCAAGCGAAAACTAGTAATAATAGTTAGATATTAAAAGAATATTCTTTAAATATAACGCGTGTTAACCAAGGGACCTGAATAGTAAATATTGTGATGATTTTGAGGGATGTATAGAAATTTCCATGATTTGAGTGAAGGAATTTGAAATAGTTGAAGATATGCCAATCCGGACTAATTTTTGAAACGGGTTAACTTTATTCATACCAGAAACTTATCAATACCAAACTTATCAACTAGGTCCAAACGGCGTTAACTTTTTTATAATAAAAGTCAAGGAAAACTAGTTAATTAATAGTTAGATTTAAAAGAATATTTCTTTAAAATATAACCTGGTATTAACCAGTGACCTAATCAGGGTTAAATATTGTGGATGATTGAAGAGTAATAGAAATTTCCATGATTGAGTGGAGTAATTTTGAAAATATTGGCTGCAACGCGAGTAATTTTAAACGGTTTAAGCTTATCATACCAGAACTTATACATACCTAGAACTTATAAAACTAGGTCCAAAAAGCGTTAACTTTTTATAATTAAAAGTTAAGGAAACTAGTAATAATAGTTAGATTTAAGAAAGAAATATTCTTTAAATATAACCGATGTTAACCAGGATCCTAATAGTAAATATTACGTGATTAATTTGCATTACCGCTACCTAATGAAGGAAGTAATAGAAATTCCATGATTTGAGGTGAGTAATTTTGAAATATTGAAGATAGCCAATCGGACTAATTTGAAACGGTTCAGTTAACTTATCATACCAGAAATCAACTAGGTTCCAAACGCAGTAACTTTTTATAATTAAAAGCTCAAGAAAAACTGTAATAATAGTTAAGATTTAAAATAAGATTTTCTTAAATATAACGGTGTTAACCAGGGACCTAATAGTTAAATATGTGATGATTTAGGCGATGTAATAGAAATTTCCATGATTTGAGTGAGTAATTTTGAAATATTGAAGATAGGCCAATCCGAACTAATTTGAAATATTAAAGATTTTGAGCGGATTAATTTTGAAATATCTAATCATTTTACTGCTAAATAAGAGGATGTAAAAGAAAAAATTGATAAGAATAGTTGATTATTAGGGGTTGAATAGCAATTTCTATGAGATTCGGAAACTAAATTTAATATATATAAAAATTTTAAGGCTAAAATTAAAAATATGAAAGACATAAATATCTAACTTAAACCTAACAAACAAACTCAACCCTCTCTAGCCGCCTCCCCCTACTATAATACCAGAACTTTATCATATCAGAAACTTATCGACTGAATTCGAGGGTGTTTGTCTTTCACTAATACAATAGCAACAATAATTTTTGAGTTCTACTATGATTTCATATTGTCTGTTGAATCGTATTAACAAGTCTTTCTATCAATTAGGGCATCACTTAGTCAATCTTGACTGAATTAAGTTGCTAGTCATGTAAAAATTAATGAGTCATTATGAGAATAGTTAGCCTTATTTATTCCCCTGTGAAATTTCTGATAACTAGTTAAAATAAATTTTCTGGTATTTTAAAATATTTAATTATGATTTTAAAAAGAGTATTTGTATTATTCTTGATTTTTCTTACAATTTTCTATGATTAAAAATCTGGATGATTTAAATTTATTGTTAAATGTTTTAATATATAAATTTATTTCGGCTGTCAGTAAAATGTTTCTAGCAATTATTTGGTTATGTTATCGAGTTACTATGGACGTATTATTTTAAATAATATTATTGTATTATTAATGTTATTACAAGATTATTTCATATAAATACATTGTATTATTAATTACGTTTTTTGTAATAATTGAGTTGTATTATTCTCTATTGTTACATATTATCTGTCGTATTAGTATAACTAAGTACGTTTTACGTGTATATATATTGTCCTATTATTATTTAATGTTTAAATGTAAGTAAAGAATATTTTTATTAGTAATTATTCTCGTTTAATTATACAATATTGGGGATTCTTCAACTATCGTATCAATAGGTTGTATTAGCTCAACAGGTACGTTTTTATTTGTAGATAATTATCCGTATAATTTTGATTTTTAAATATCATTAGTTATTTCTTTTAATTTAATTTGTTAACTTAATTATACCCTAACACTAATATATACTATATATATATATATAATATATTATATTATATATATATATAATATAACCAACCCTCTTACTGTTCATCTCTATCGGCCACCCGCCTACTATTCTCTCTCCTCCTCTCACGAGGAAACACCCCGACGTTCGCCTCGCTCATCCAGACCCCCACCGCCGCCGCTCTCGTCGCCGGCCACCGCCCCGCACAGCAGTCGCCTCGTCAAAGCACGCCCCACGCCCCCCGACGCTCCCCAACACGCCCCGCGTCCGCGTCCACCAAACTCGTAGCCCGACCGACGCCACCAGCGCCGCCCAAAGCCAGTCCGGCACCCACGTCGCTTCCTCCTCAGCCGCGTTCGCCTCCTCCGCCTGCAGCACCTCCGCCGCTCCAGCAGCCGCTCCTCCGCACCCCCTCGAGCTCCCTCCACCACCCGCACCTCCCCATCTCCTCTCTCCCCGCAACCACCCCGAGCCGCTCCGACCACCCAAACAGCAGCCGCGTTCGCCGTCGCCACCAGCAGCGACCTCCACAGCCGTCGTCACCCCCGACCAGGTCCGCGCCATCAATTAAGTACTAGTATCATAGAGTGTCAGCTTTTATTTGGTACAACAATGTCCATTATAGAAGAGTAATTTAATTCGTTTGATTATTTGTTCAATCAACTAAAATAAAGACTTTTAAACTTATGACGATTTAAGAGATATTAAATTAATTAATAAGTTTTCCTATTATACAGATGAGAGAAGTTCCTGATAAGTCATGGATTGATATTCCTATATTGAAAAGAAGAGCAAAAGGTGATACTCGATATCGAGACGGATGGGAAGCATTCCTTGAATATGCATATGCTAATCCGAGAAAGATAGAGAACGATTTGTTGTGTTGTCCATGCGGTAAGTGTAGGAACAGAGGTCTGGTGGATAGAGTTGCTATACGAAGACACCTAGAAAGATGGGGATTTGATGAAAATTATAAATATTGGAGTTTTCACGGAGAAGGTGAAGATATTGAATTAGATGATAGAAATATAGACGATACGCACGCAATGTTCAACGATGTTACGACAGTTGCAGAAGTTGATGAAGTTCCAGAAGTACCAGATGCTGTTGAAGTTCCTGGAGATGCAGATGATGTCCAAAATACCGAGGATGTGCGTGATAGCGGGGCCTACAGAAATTTAGTGAAGATATTGGAAGACAACGAGAAGGATCTGTACGATGGTTGCACTGAGTATAGTAGGTTGTCATTTATTCTTGAACTTATGCGTATTAAGACCCTGAGCGGAATGGCAGATAAATATTTTCAAATGCTTCTTAATTTACTACGCAAGGTAATTCCAGACGGAGAGAATAGCATACCAGAAAAGTGTTATGATGCAAATAAGATTGTTGGTGCTCTGGGTTTAGATTACAATAAGATCGATGCTTGTCCCAATGATTGTGTCCTTTATTATAAGGATAACGAGAAACTTGAGGAATGTCCAAAGTGTGGAGTGTCTCGATGGAGAAAGAATGCACGTACTTCAACACGAAAGTCAGATGAGTCAGTGAATCAACAGAAGAAAATTCCAGCGAAGGTGCTTCGACATTTTCCCTTAGTGCCTCGGTTACAACGTCTGTATATGACAAAAAATATAGCAAAAGATATGCGGTGGCATAAGGAAAGACGTGTAGATGATGGTAAAGTGAGACATCCAGCAGATGCAAAGGCATGGAAGCATGTGGATCAGACTTTTCCCTCATTTGCCACAGAGTGCAGGAATGTCAGACTTGGGCTATCTAGCGACGGATTCAACCCGTTTGGCATTATGAGTTCGGGATGGTCTACTTGGCCAGTTGTGTTAATGCCCTATAATTTACCACCTGGACTTTGTATGAAGCAATCATATATGATTCTTTCATTATTGATATCAGGCAAACATTCACCTGGTAATGACATAGACGTGTTCATGGAGCCGTTAATTGATGAATTAAAATGTCTCTGGGATGAAGGAGCGTGCCATAAAACAGAGACTAGATAAAGCTATGTCAGATCTAATGAGGGAAAAAGGTAATAAT